CCCTCCTTCTTTTTTTTTTTCGCTGAGCTCGTTTCTGGAGAAAAATCCGCGAACGAAATTTCATCGCGCTTTTTCGACTCGCTTCTTTTTTCCACCGCGAAATTACACCGCGAGTAAAATTTTTCGCAGCTCGGTGGTGATTTCTCATTCTCGATGATGAGGATGAGAGAGGAGCGATAAGTCGAATTCACTTTCTCGATTTACGGATGTTTATCGCGTGTTTATCGTGATCATCGATGACGACGCGGATAGGGCAGAGATTCGTCATTCGACGCTCGTTGATCTCGCGGTGCTCGTTGCGTTGAGTAATTGAACCGGTTGCATAGATGAAATACGAACGCGTTCGATCTGTCCGCGATTAAAACGTGGCCAAACGAACCGTGTACACCATTCGATTCGATTTATCGAAGGATCGTCTTTCGATAAATGGTTCTCCATTGGGCCTCGCGTTTTCACTATTGAAAACCATTCCATTTTTTTTTTTCCACCTTTCGTTTTTGTACGAATCATAGTTTCGTACAATTACTTAAAAAAAAAAAAAAGTGTCGATCTATATCCCGAATATCTCGAATACTCGAGTCGCAAAGAAATTACACGTCGAAAACTTGATGATTTTCGCTTTTTTTCTTTTTTCTTTTTTTGCGGTCAAAGCATATTTATTATTTAAAAACGGGAAGAAAATGAGGAAAAAATGTAGCGGATGACACCGTGGAGCCAATCTCGGCTGAAAGGGGATCACCTGAAAGCTTATTCAGCGTGTTACACGCGTTTCGGTCGGTTTCAATTATTCTAAAAGTCATCTCCGCGATCACACGGTCGGTGGGGAAATGAAATTGCGATATATATACATATATTTTTTCTTTCTTTTTGTATATATGAAAACAAAAAAACGACCTCATCTTTAACAACGATTCGCACAGGTTGTGTACGAGACCGATCTCGTGTTTCGCAAATTACGGTCGATCGATTCTTCGCAAAAGATATAGTCAAAATACAAAAATCTTCTAATTTCTCGTAAACGTAAAACGTCGTACTCCCGAATAATAATAATCCATGTTCCACGATCGATCGATTCGCACGAAACATTCTCATTGACCGGCGATCTTCGCGCACGATTCTCAAATCGATCGCGACCACCGATCGTTGAAAATTCGTCAAAATTTGCGGGGATCGAAGGAGGCGAGAAGATGCAACAACAACCGGCCGGCTCTTCTCCGTATTCCTCGCACGGTTCTCCGCTGAGGACACCGATGAGTTCCGGTCACGGAACCCCCCAGGACTCGCCCCACGCGGCCAGGCATCGAAGGGACTCGGAACACTCGGCCGGCGTTGGATCGAGGCGAGGCTCCTCGGACGTGGTCGTCGTCTCGCCTCTGCCCGACGCTCCCTCAGGATCGCCCGATACCCGACAACCCCGTCGACGAGCGGACTACAGCCCCCATCAGGGTAGGTCTCGCGATTCGCGCTTCCAATCCGCCAATTTACGGCAGTTGAACGAAACCAACACACCCCTAACGAGGGGTAATTCGCAATTTGGTTAATCGGGTTTGGGAATAGTTATGGCGCGACACGCACGATCGAGCCCACCGCGAAACGTCGAATCGTGCGATTCCACTTGGCGCTGTTTCCATCATCTCCGAATCGGGAGATGACGTCTCGAGATTCGATGTTTGCCTTATGGAATAGTTGATACGCTCGCGTGAGAAAATATTTGCCCCGTTTTGATTAGCTGTTTGCGGATTCGCACGCGTGGTGGACAAATCCATTCTCGGGAGGGAAAGGCATTTAGAGACGCGTATTTGTATGTATTTCTGATGAAACTGATGGGATTAGAAGAGATTAGACGGATCGATTTTTTCCCCGAAGCGAGCGTAATTTTACGAGCGTAAGTTTGTAACGTTAACCGAGTCGGTTCGAGTCATCAAAGGAAGTGGATTCGCTCCACGGACTTTGAGCGAATCGCGCGTGTACGATTTAATAGCTTGGCTTGGTCCTTCTTTCTCTCTCGCTGTGAATTTTTATTCATCGCGTTTCGAGGCCGCCTTTGAATCCTTAAATATCCGGTAAGGAAACGTTTCTCCATATATCCAGCATGTCTCAAATCTTCTTTTTCTTTTCTTTTTTCCTTTTTTCCTTTCTCCCCCTCTTTGGAAAATGACGGCTCGCCCTGAAATCACTCGCTCAAGACTCGAGAGGAAGAAATACCGAGGAAGGAAGGGCGATACGGCGTAATTTTTTTTTTTTTTCTTTTTTTTTACGAGCAATTTGAAAAAGTTCCGGAATTTTGAAACGTGGGATGCTTTAAATTGTTGACGACGAAATGTTAATTTTTCTGCCGTGAAATGGATCGTGAACGAACGACAGGATGCTGCCGAGTGAATGAAACGTTGAAACGAATCCGCACGCGTGTATAACTGCGAAATCGAAATTTTCAAAATAAAATTGATTGATTAATCGCGAGTTGCTCGTCTTCGTTACTTTCGAAATTCGACCGGGAAAGGAACGCATTTTCCAAGGTGGAATTAAGAAGGGGAGGGAAGGGGAAGAGGTTGGAACTGGAAAAATCAATGAACCGTGTTTGAATTGATATTTTTTAATCAAACCGTTGATTCGATTCCATTTTAATTTCGCGATCGGTGCGATGAAAATCGACGACGATGGAAGTTTACGAACAACCAATCTTTCTCTCGTCGCGTTATCATCCATCGTGGCTCTGAAAAGTAAATTTTACATTGATAACTTTTATTAATCAATTATTAATCGACGAATCGTAATTCGACGAAACGTTACGATCGTATTCTTCCGATTTATCCATCCTCTTCTGTGAAACTATCTAAGAAAATACATGGAAGGCGTCGGTTACAGTGAGCAAAGAGTCGAGCAAAGATAAAATATTATCAGTCCTTGGAACTTTTTATCGTTAAAAGTAGTGTTTAAAAAAGGCTAACACGATGACATCGATTATACGAAATTTTATCCTCACGAAACCATTTTCCAGTTTAATTAATCGATCGAAATTATTACCGCGACATACGTTCTCTTCGACTCGTTCATTGCCCTTAGAATCGGTCTTGAATTGCGGGAAAACATAAAAACGATTGTACACCGCGATACGAGTTCTCTTTCTCCAAGGAAACAAGAAGAAGAAGAAAAAATGAATGGAAGATGGACTCTGGAGGGCTGGCGGAGAAAGGGTGAAAGTCGCCGATTGAAAGCCCCGTTCGAGGGACAAAACGCGTTTGTCCCGCGTGTCATTCGTGCCATTTTCCGCTCGCGTTCCGCAAAAACTATCCAAAGGAGGGGGGGGGGGGGTTGAATGAGCGGAAGAAGAGTGGGCGTCCGTGCGTGGAATCGCGCGAGGGTGTCGCGACTCCCCCTCGTAGTGGAAACAGGCCTACATGCCTGCCTCTACGCGCATCAGACTCACGTTGCATCGCGTTCGTAGCCAGCCAGCTTTATCACGACTGAGAACGTCGTGGGCCAAGTACATCGAACCGCCACTTTCCCTCCCCTCTCGCTCCGCGTAATCTGGCCACGACATTTGCATCTAGATGACGTTTTTTTGCATTTTCCACCCGTCCAACCGTTTGTAGACACGGTTAACGATGCTTGTGGAACGCGCGAGCTTCTTGCCTGTTGTGAGGCAGAAAGAGGAGGGTGTGTTCTCGAGGTGTTCCACCGAGATAGGGGTTGTTTGGGGGCGCTGCGTAATCGTAGGGAATTCGCAAATGAGGAATTGAATGAACACCCGAGCGAGGGGAGGAAAGGGGGTGTTTGCCTTTGCGGTTTCTGCCCGCTCGTATAGTTTATTTTATCTCATCCGGAGTAGAATTTCAAACGTGCGAGAAGAGAGTAAATTGATTTCTTCTTTTTTTTTTTTTTTAAGAGACCGTATTATTGTCGCGATAGGAAGAGTCGTGGAATGATTCTCAACAATTGTCGATCGAGATTATCGTTGGACATTTTCCCTCGATATAACAATTATCGATTATTTTAAAACTTCGTAACAAATTCTCTCTCTAAACTTGATGGAAGGATTCGAGAAGGAGATCTCGACAACCGGATGAAATTGGAAACGGTGGAATATAAATTTTCGGCGAAGAAGGATCGGATATTTTTTGGGATATGTATCGGTGTATAGAAAAATGGCGCGACCTTGGTTGTCGAGGGACGAAAGGTTGTTCACCGGGCAGAGGTTTCCTTTCAACGGGTACACGTGACTGGCTTTGTGCACGCGGACGTATGCCGTTTTCACGTCACGTCCGGGACGTCTGTCTGAGGAGAAAGGAGAAGGGGGATGAAAAGTTGGGATAAATTACGATGAGACGAATGAGAGGAGTTTCGCCAAGACAGAAGTCATCCGCAATATTGGGGTCATTTGCTCCCTTGTACGCTGCGGGGAAAAAAAAAGAAGAAGCCAATTCTTCGGCGGGGAAATGCCGAGGGAGAAGATGGAGGAGAAGGAGGAAGAGGAGGAGGAGGAGGAATTGTAATAAGATGGCGGCTATAAATAATCCGTTAAAAAAACTGTATTAAATTTGCGCTTGACGCTTTCTTATTAAACTCTCAAATCATCCGAGAGGGACTGGCTTCGCGATATTTCTGTCAGGAATTTACTCGGCTGTTTATATATATACATACTAAAAAAAGGCTGTGTCTATTTACGTTTCAATCTTATCAAATTAATCGAATCGAAACGTCTTACTTCGAATTAAGAAAAGGAGATTGGCCGATCGACGATAGATAAAACAGCGATTCGATTGATAAAGTGATTTCAGCGATCCTTTTCATCCAGTTTTTTTGTTGCCAATCTTATTTACGTCTCACGATCGAGTCTAGACTCGCCGATTAATCCATCGTTATCGAATTTGTGCCCCGTCACCTTTAGAAAACTGATTTATGACGTCTATTGGTGTGACGAAAAAAAACGAATTTCCGATTAATTTAAATGTCATCGGTGATGTCATCGTGACAGGTATTTTATGATACTAATGGACTAAACTTTTATGGAATTCGTGTATATCTCAAACAAAGAGTTTTGGACGATTGTCATCGCGTACGAACGCGACGTAACGAGAGGAGCATGGATATTAAATAGATCTAGACCAATCTGTTTCTCGTCGCGGTGGGGCTCGAGTTAAAGCTTATTGCGGCGGCGTAATAATAGCGATATGTCCCGAGAAGTGGGTGACAAAGCACAGACCGAGAGCTAAATAGATATACATAAGGTTCTTAAGCTCGCGCTACCTTCAACCGATATGTCTCTGGATCCGCTTTCGGGATACGATACCTTCTCGGATTGGATGGAGTAGTAAGTCAAGGATCCGGGTTAGTCCTTTATTCCATTTAATTAGCGACCAGCTTCTTTTCATTCGACTAATTAATTACTCGATTAATTGCGAAAACTTGTTAAAACAGAAGAAAAGAAAAGAAAGAAAGGAAGGAACGGTAAAGAAAGTTTCAACAACAAATCTAGAGAGAAGAAATCTAGAGAGAGAGAGAAGCTTAGATCGCACCACATTCAATCCACCAGGAGTGGAAAATTCGAAGGCAATTACGAATCACGACTCTTCTTATCCGCTTCGAAAATGGGCTGTCCGATCGTATTGGACACATCGCAGTGGCGATACTCTTCCTCTTTCCCTCTCTGATTTCTGGCGGTGGGCTACTCGATTCCCTGGATTCGACTTTTTCGTTTCTTTTACGGTCGGCCGGGACACGGCATGTAGAGGGAACGACACCGGTGTCGTACCGGCGAAATTGGCTGGCCAGGAGAGAAAACTCGATCGAACCAGGGGAATGGAAAGAGACGCGTGTGTTTCACGATCGCGTGTGCACTGGCCGGAGATAATTCTCGCGTGTCGAGCGGTGGTTCCACGGCGGCCACTTCGATACCCGTTACGAAGCACCGATTCCATGCTTCGTCTTCTTTATTCTCTTCATTTTTCCCCCTGGAAATTTCGCGGTAACCAACCTCTTCCGCTCTTTCCCCTCGGAAGAGGAAACGGGGAAATGGCGTATTATTTTGTATTTTGTGCATGATTTTTCAAACACGTTTAATAACAATTCGATGGAATTCGAATTATCACTTGAATCGTCTCGTCTTCGTAAGGAAAGAAACTACGTGAAACTACAATGAATGTTAACTTTTATATTATTTGCGTCGCGCGAATACTTTTTTCGACCAAGCTTATCAAGAACAAATTGAACGAATGGGAGGGGAATTCGATTCGAACGTACTTCTTTTCCCTCGATCGGATTAAATTGTATAAATTACACGGCAAAGGTTCAACGATCGGTTCCAATCCACCTTCGCTCTTTCTTTTCCGTCCCTTCTTCGCCGTCCTTCCTGACGTTTCACAGACGTTTCGTGCGGAAGATGACACGCGCAGAATAGACGCGTCAGCGAAACGAGGCTGCGAGAACGATCGGAAGAAAAGGAACGG